GGAGGGGGAGGAGGAGGAAGGGGGTGGGGGAGCGTGCTGCCGCTGCCGGGGGTGGGGTGGGGAGTAAATTGGGAATCGGTTTGGGTTTTTCGGGGAGGGGTTACTCTCTCTAGTTGGGCAGGGGTGCGCGTGAGCTGGAACCCGCGCACACGACACGCACCACCCACGCCCACGGGCGGCCGGGTCGGGTCGGGTCGGGTCGGGTGCGTTTGGCTCGTGCTCCCTCCCGCGGTGATTTTTGGGGGCCATTTTCCCGGCTCCCCTATATCTCCGTGCGTGCGTCGTTTTCAGTCGTGGCCTCGCCCCCGCGGGGTCAATGCTATGCCATGCCATGCCATGCGCCCGGGTGCTGCGGGTGGTTGGGCTCCGGCTCCGCTGGCCGGGTCGTCGCACCGGACAGAGGCGACGTGGGGATGGTTAGGTGCGGACAGCACGTGGAGGGAGCCGTGCGTGCCGGCGCTCTGGCTCTGGCTGTGGGGCCTAAAACCGAGCCGGTGATCCCCAGTTTTTTTTTTTGGGTTTAGCAGCTGACATTCTGTTTTTCGTGTGTGGCATTCATTGATACGCATGATAGGTTGGGTGCACCGGCTCCTTTGTCTAGCCTGATTGCGTGCGTGGACGGAGGAGACGAGTAATTGGAGGGGGGGAGATGGCCCGTGTCGGGGCGCCCTCGTCGTATGCGCGCCCGCCTAGATTCCAAGGGGTCAATCGTCTAGCTTTTCTTTTTTCATGGTCGTCAATCGTCTAACTTATGCTTTCTTTTTCTTTTTTTCATCAAAAGTTGCACTCGTAAAAGACTTGCCATATTAATTAATTACTCTCTCCATTCAAGAAAAATACGATGTCTGTTCATTCTATATGTAGTCCATATTTGTTTTTAAATAGTAATATTCAAAACATCTTATATTTGTGAACGGAGGGAGTATAATTAATTATAGGAGGAGGTTTTCACGGGGACACTGGTTTCTGCTCCCGGCTCGAATGCACCGCCATGAACAGGAAAGTCGTAAATATAGTAAATAAATTTAGATAATTCCGGAGTCAACAAATTGACAACAAATACTGTTGAATATTCTACATGCCTGCAAATTCTTGATGCTTTGGGCAAAAAAAATGATGCTTCAAAATGACTATTTAAAAAATGTTTTGTTATTTTTGCTCAGACCTCCATGAATGTGATTTCATCACGAAAAAAATGCACAGATGCAGAAAACAAAGCATTGTTGGTTGTAAAAATACAAAAAAAACTTAATATCTTTTAAAAAAAACATACTATTGTTTTCAATTTTACTGTTCATAAATGTGCATTTGAGCTCGGGATTAAAAGAACACTTGCGGTTTCACGGGTCGTATGCCTGAAGACGAGAACAAACAATAGGAAAGGTTACTATTTCCCACATGTTGTTAACCAAATGGGTGGCCCCCGCTGCTATCTATTGCCCTGCCTCGTTTCGGATTCGCGAGCAGATGATGTTAGGTAGTGATGATTTGCTTTCGAACACATGTGGGTTTCTCTCATTCCAAATCTCTCACAAAATGCCCGTGGTTAGGCAGGCCATGACCTTGCGTCTATCTTGGCAAATGATCTCACCATGATTTTGACGCCATTGAAGTCCCTACGTGCGGACGGTTCAAACTGATGCAACCCATGTAATTCTTTGATCATGTGACATGACCTTACGGAGTACCAACACTGGAAGAGCATGTGTGCCGCAAACACGGGGGAGGGGCGACACGGGTGCATAAGGGACACTGGCCGCAATTTTGGCCACCTACGTTTCATGAGGTGGTAGTGCGTTCAAACCCTACTTTGTATGATGAGCCACACGAAGATCTTACACATGGGTGGGTTATTTTTTTTCAATCGTTTTTATTTATGTTGATGTTGGTTGAGACTATTCAGAGGAATTGTGCCAGTTGATGGTGTCGAGGCGATCAACCTGTAGTTGTACTTGAGATGTGTATAATTAACCAGAGGGCGAGGAATTTTCGGATGTGTTGCATAGTGAGGCCCCTAGAAGTGTTGATTTGCTCCACGCAAGTATTGTGGCGAATAGCCAACTGGACACACCATTCCTTCTTATTGGAAAGGGCAAAAGTTGTAGTTGCGATGTCTCTTGGCCTACGACCGACGGTTCACGACGAGTTACAAAGACTTGTTGTCTGACCATTGCCAACGATAACTTTTGTGAGGGCGTGGAAAGATCCATGTCATTGTTGGCACATGGGTCCCCGGCAAACCAAGTCCTCTTCGGTGTGGTCCGTTTGAGCCAAACTGAGCCACGGTCCAACTTATATATGCCCATCTACATCTATGTACAAAAAATTATTCAAGGAGACCTAGAAAACATTTAAGATATTGTTTGTGTCATGAAGTTTTAAAGACGTGAGATTAAGAAAAAGCAGAAGAATATGATAGATATATATGTGCGACACACGGGTCGGAAAACACAATAAATATCTATACTTGCGTGTTTGGTTCACATAATTGAAAAAGAGACACAAAAATCCAACTAAACACTAAACACAATCAATCAAACTGAATTCAAACCACATGAAAAGGTACAATTATGATGCTATTATTCGATGATAACGACTTCAACCCCATACTTCATACAGTCAAACTGAATTCAAACCACATGAAAAAGTACAATTATGATGCTATTATTCGATGATAAGGACTTCAGCCCCGTACTTCATACAGTCAAACTGAAATCAAACCACATGAAAATAAAATGATTTTAAAAAGAGGTCTAAGTAGATTGTAACATTCCAACGTTTTTCCTTTGAAAGTGGGATGTAAGAAAACTTTCCTTTCCTTTTCTATTGCTCCATTCATTTTAGCCAAACGGACAAACAACGTTGCTTAAAGTAAAAAATAAAGAATTGTATCAAGAATTGTATACAAAAGAATAGTAAAAAGGGCTCGCATAGAAAAATAGAATCAAACTCAAGTTCCAAAGTAATTACACATAATAGAAAAATGGACTCAGGTTCAAGTTCCGAAGTAATTACACATAGTATAGAAATTCAAAAAGAAATCAGTACGATCCACATCATAATCCATACCGGATTCCCAACTTTATTAAAGAAAAAAAAGGAGCAATCAAAGAATTAGAGAAATATCTACAAAAGAAAATTAACTCTGTAAACCAGAAATTTAATATTTCTATCGAAAAAGTTAAAGAACCTTATAGACAGCCTAACATTCTTGCAGAATACATAGCTTTCCAATTAAAAAATAAAGTTTCATTCTGAAAGGCGATGAAAAAAGCTATTGAATTAACTAAAAAAGCATATATAAGGGGAGTAAAAGCAAAAACCGCGGGTCGCCTCGAAGGAAAAGAAATTGCACTCACCGAATCCATTAAAAAGGGTAGACTTCCCCTCCAAACAATTCACGCTAAAATTGATCTACTTTTCCTACGAACCAAACAAGCCTTAACTATACTCTCTCTTTTGTAAATTCTGCAAGAAAGCGTGTGGTTAAATTTTTCTTACTTTGATTACTAAGAGCATCTCCAGCCGTTGGCCCCTCGGGGGCTCGAAAAATCGCCGCCTGGGGGCGACCCGGCGATAAAATCGGCCTGGGGCCGAATGGGTTCCCAGCCGCCGGCCCCACGGTCGCCCCACAAGGTTTTTTTAAAAGACATTGGGCTTTTTTATTCGGCAACAGGCATAAACTTTGGCGATTTAAACAGTTTTACATAGAAAATTTAAAGTTTACTAAAAACAAAGCCCTAGACTACAGGAAGAATACACTCGGCGCGGCGAAGTCACCGTCGTTGCCTCCATCTTCGGTTTGCTCATGAAGGTGGACGTCATTAAGGAGCATCCAAAGAGTGAAGAACTCCCTAACATGGGCGATGGAGACAACCGTGTCCGTGTCATGATTGATCTTGAAGATCCAAGCGTTCCCCGTGAGGGCCTCACGGACCTTCCAATTCTTTCTTCTCAAGGCCGCAAACAAAAAGTGGCGCAATATCCTTGGGTTTGCGACCAAGAAGCCACGGGGAGCCCCAAAAAGGCGTTTTGGCGCCATCCTCTGCAGTGATAGTCGTAGAGGCATAGAAAAACTCGAGGTCCTCCTCCGTGCACGGGTTCCCAAGGCCAACCCATAATCTGCGGGGCTCAGTCCATTCATACCATAGCCACCGGAGCCGCAAAGCACGTGCAAACTTGTCGGTGTCGAGCACCCCGAGGCCACCATATTATTTTGGTCTACAAAACACCTTCTAGTTGACCTTGCATTTGGCTCCTGTTGTCTTTTCCGAGCCGGACCAAAGGAAAGCTCTCTCAATTTTGTTAAGGCTATGGAGAGAGCTCTGAGGCACGATGAGGGGCGTGATGGAGAATACTGCTTGGGAGGTAATGACCGACCTAACAAGTGTCGTGCGCCCGATGGTAGTGATGTTTTGAACCTTCCCAAGTGACCAATTTGCCGGCCGCTTTGTCCTCAATGCATTGGAAATCCACCTTCTTCAGTTGCCAAACAGACAGGGGTAGTCCTCGGTATTTGACCGGAAAAGAGGCAAGTGCAGACGTCTATCCTAGCCGCAGCCGCTTCGTATGGTTTCGCACCACCGTTTCAGATCATTGCGCCGC